TTAATCAAATTGCGCTTCTGATGTAAAATTCACAATGTAAAAATTAATTTCAAAAGAGAAACAATAACATCAAGCTGTACACTTCCAATTATTGGGTGCACATGCAGCTATCAAAGTACTTTCTTTGAAAAAAAAAATCACATTACAAATTTGATCTATTTTTATGTAAAGTACAAGTAGTGTTTACAGACGTTACACAATGTACAATGAACAGTTACTATTCGACTATGCAAAACAAAATATAAGAGACCAGCTATAGGCGTGAGACCTGTTAGGTCTGGGTCGGTATCGTGGGCATCCATCTTGATCTACTGAAGATCTAAAGACCGGCAGGCGCAGGCGGCGGCCGGTAGTCTTGCCAAAGGGCATCATTATCCCCCTTTTTTGTCTTCCCTTGTCGGTCTGGCCCTGAGGGATAGAAAATATCACTGAACGCGTTAACCGGCGCGTACAGCAGGATTTCAAACCATTTTGAAAAAGTACCGTTTCCTTTTAAAATTTCCCAAAATGGACGGTTTTGAACCCCATTGCGCGGACCGCATCCAATCTATAAAAAAAGCACCCCTTTATACGCGTTTTCTTGGTCACGCATGCTTTCAGTAATATTTTTGAATGAGACCCCCGGGCTCTATGTATTTTTCAAATTATGTAAATACATGTAAATGTATATAATCCTTTGGACATGTTAATAGTGACGATGGGGTCTTGAAGTATAAAAAGTCAAATAGTTGTCTAGACCGACGTCCCCAAACCTTTTAGTATCACAGAACTAAAATTCGCATTGCTTCAAGTATTCATTGTTCCACTGTTTTATGTTTAGTTTTATGTTAACTAGCACACTTAAAAAGGGACGTAAGAAAGGGATTGAAAGCCTGTTCAGTGATTTAATGATTGAAAAAGTCTTTATTTCGATGACTTGTGTATGCCTTCAATACTATGGTCACATAAGTAAGTGCATGATTGACTAGACATGCATTGTTCAGGTGTGTACTTTTCGTGTAAATATTGACCTACTTATGTCCTATCGTCTATTGTTGCATGTTTTTCGTGTGAAGTGATTTCAAACAAGACGAGGATATATACATCTCTCCCTAGTAACCTTCCATTCTAACTCTTTCTCCCACCCTCTTGCTCTCTCTCTCTCTTCCCTCTCTCTTTCACGGTCTCTCTTTGTCTCTCTTCCACTACCCCTTTCTCTCTCTCTATCTGTCACTATCTTTTTCTCCTCTTCTCCATTTTTACGGTCACTTTTTTATCTTCTCCTTTCAATTCCCATGCATTCCACCCCCTCACCGCCCCTTTGATTCACCATTACTTCACTCAATGCCCCTTCCCTATCTCGAGTTCAAATACGAAAAAAATATGCCAAAGCTTTCCTATAGTTTTCAATCTCACTCCTGTTGGCTCAGTCAATAGAACGTCCGCCTCAAAACCGGGAGGTCGTGGGTTCGAACCCTGGCCGCGTCATACCAATAGAAGTTAAAAGACGGGAATTGCTGCTACCATCATGTTTGGCGTTCAACAATAAGGGATAGAGCAACGTCGATCCGGTGCTGATCAGTGGGTGCCGGGCTCACGATCAATTGGGCAAAAAGAATTTTCATTTTCGATTTAACTTAATAAAATTTGGTGTGGACTTTAAAAGATTATTATTATTATTAACTTCACTCAGTCAATTTGATATCATTCGATTGGCAAGGTTGGGCCCAGTGCACGGCGTATATAATTTTACCCTTTTTGGTGATGGGCCCCCTCCCCTGGCGCTTAAGGGGGGGGGGGGGGGGAGGGAGAGGGTGCGATTTTTCAAATTTTCGAGTGCCAAACAAATAAATAGTGCTCACTACCCCCCCCCCCCCCTCCCCTCCCCTGGCGATAGCCGAGCGTGTTTGGACTGTTTTGAATGTACCGAGTGTAGGTAATTTTACTTATGCCCAAACAAAATTATGTGTATGATTTGTTTTATTAGATTATGTTTTATTCGATTTTAAAAAATGAAGTTTTATAACATGATTTTACTAATGACCGGTCATTAGCATTTGATAATGACCGGTCATTATCAAAATTACGTGTTAGGCAAAACAAATGCCTGGTCACGTGTACGCTTCCAACCAACGATGTATTATTATTGATAAGACAAAGAAATGATCAAAAGAAAAAAGCAAAACAAACTGGTGATTCTGAGGATTGGAAAAGATATAGAGAATTACGAAATAAGGTTACTGCATGTATCCGTCAAGCAAAGAAAAATTACATCACTCGTAGTATTAATGAAAGTAATGGTAAATCAGGAGATATATGGAAATCGTTGAAATGCTTAATGCCACAAAAACTTAATTCTGTGAAAATACCCCACATTGAAATAGAAAATAATATGATTGATGATAAAATAGAAATTGCTGATTGTTTTAATTGTCATTTTATAAATATTGGGCAAACAGTTCAGGAAAGTATTGTGACCCTTGATGATCATGGTCAAAACGATTCAAACCCTGTTATGCATACTGCTGTACCTGGAGATGGATTCCATTTTGATCTAGTTAATGAAGAACAAGTTTTAAATGTTATTAAGAATTTAAAAGATAAGAAGGCCTGTGGTCCAGATAATGTACCAGCTGAATTTTGGAAAATTGTAATGACTTATATTCTCAAGCCTTTAACATATATCATAAATTTGTCTTTTGAGCAAGGTGTTGTCCCTCTACAATGGAAAATGTCTCGTGTTACTCCAGTTTTTAAATCGGGAAAAAAGTCTGATATGAACAATTATAGACCAATATCAATTCTTCCGGCGATAGCTAAAATTGTTGAAAAATTGGTATTTGATCAACTTTACGGTTATATGGATCAGAACGGAATTATAAGTTGCAATCAGTCAGGTTTTCGCCCGAAACACTCTACAATGACATCTCTATTGAACGTCACGGAAGACTGGCTTGATAGTTTAGATAAAGGTAATCTTGTAGGCGTGGTGACCCTTGACTTAAAAAAGGCGTTTGATACAGTAGACCACTCAATTCTTTTAAATAAGCTACGGCTTATTGGCTTGAATGTAATGTCATTACAGTGGTTTAGTAGCTACTTAGCCAATCGCATGCAATTCACTTGTGTAAATGGGGTTCATTCCAATTCACAAAAGATGCAATGTGGAATACCGCAGGGGTCAAATATTGGCCCATTGTTATTTATCCTATTTATTAATGATATGCCTTTATGTCTGAAAACATGTAAAATATCTTTATATGCTGATGATTCGTGTCTATATAACGCTAGTGCAAATCATCAAATTCTTACCGAATCATTAAATGCAGACTTATTACTTATTGATATTTGGTTAAAAAGGAACAGACTTGCTTTAAATGTACCAAAATGTGAATTACTTTTTATCGGAACGAAGAAACGGCTAAAAAATATTATAATACCAGATGTTTACATACAAAATGTTCCTCTCAAACGTGTAACCCACTGTAAGTATCTTGGAATAGTTATTGATGAACATTTGGATTGGGGTAAACATATTGAATATTTAAGTAAGAAGGTATTAAAAGATATATATTTGTTAAAAAGAATTAGACCATATGTTACAGAGCAAACTGCACTAATATTTTATAAATCAGTAATACAATGTAAGTTTGATTACTGTAGTGCAATTTGGGGGAATACCGGAAAAGGAAATTTAGACAGTTTGCAAAAGCTACAGAATAGGACATTCCGGGTGGTACTTCAAGTTGAATGGAGGTTCCCAAGCCGAGATTTATTTCTTTGTCTGAAAATAGAAAATCTATCAAAACGGAGAGATGAACATGTTCTATGTATTTTGTATAAAATAGTGCATGGAATGATATATGGTGGGTTTAGAAAGTACTTTGTTATTAAAGAATATCATTATAGCTTGAGAAATGCTCATAAAACCTTAGAACTGCCAAAACCACATACGAATTTTAAGAAAAGGAGCTTATGTTATAGAGGCATTAAATCTTGGAATCAGCTACCTATGAACGTAAAAAATATGTCTTTCTCTGTATTTAAATCAAGGTAATATAAATATTAATTTTATATTTTGTTCACTTAAATATATACTTATATAACTATAAAATCTAAAATAAACGCTGTTTGGAAAGAACAACTGCCGACGGGGGGGGGGGGGGGGGGGGGGGTGGGTAGTAGTATCTTGGTTTGTAAATTTTCATTTTTCTTTGTATACTTATGTTCTTGTTTTTGTTTTTGAATTTTGTTTTTTTAATATTTCATATGTTATGATATGTGTTATCTTATAATTGTACATGTAATTTTTATATTGCGCACGGACCAACAGAAGAACAGCCTTTGGCTGAAGTTGGTGCCGTGCAAACATAAAATAAACTGAAACTGAAACTGAACTGAATCAGTTGATTAGGATCCACGTCATTATCTTATAATAAGGTATAGCTATTTCATTGAGACAAAACAAGGACATTATTCATTATTCTCAAATACTAATCACAGGAGCGAGACCGCTAGCAGACCGATGACAAACCGAACAAAATATTGCCTTACCCCGAATGACCAGGATCTTGTTGGATATTAGACGGTTTGGACGTTTTAATGAGGTATGAATGACTAATATCTTGTCGGTTATAATTATGTTGGTTTGGAATTGTTAATGGTATGAATGGCTAGGATCTTGCCGGATATATAGGTCGGTTAAGAGTCGGTTTGGAGATGTGAATGAGGTATGAATGACCGAGATTTTGTCGGTTTAAGTTTAAGGTCGGTTTGGAGTTGTGGCCGGGGTATAACTTATTTCAGCCAGACGTAGACAAAAAGTCACTTAATTCTGACTTGGTGGCATTTAAGACTCGTAAATTGCCCTGTATTCAGAAAACAAATTTAACTTAACATCGATCGAGTCTTAGTTTAATTTGGACTCGATTTGGCCTACTGTCTGAACTCATGACTAAGATATTATGTACTGTACCATCCAATTATGACAAAAGCCAATAATAATGCTATAACAAGGCAGGTATGAATATTATCATTTATTACAAGTCACCATTGTACATGATAATTATAGTTCGTCCCTGATAAATACATCATCGATAATTTGAACATGTACCCAAATAATATAATGAACAATATATACTCAGACCTCATAAATCATACAGCATGCGATAATATAATATTCATGTTGCTATCTGAATGTAAAATCGGTACAAAAATGGAAATATGAAGATTCTTATATCCCAATCGAGCTTGCTCAATCAAAAACAGGCTCGGAGATTATGCATTGAACTATTATTCGTCTATTGACCCCAAATAGTGAAGACAAAGCACCATTTAATCGTTGTATTGTATAAAATAATATTCGCAAAATCATGCCTACGTCGTTCCCACATAATACCAGTTGCATGTATGCGTTCTTAATTATGACAATAATAACACATAGAATAATTATCGTAATGAATATCTGAATATGACATATAATTCTTAAATTAAATTAAAGAACATCTCCCCTGAGTGACATCTCTTGATTGTTTTATAATAATAATGTCCTCGACAAGATTCATTCTTGATTCCATATTCATCCACTAAATGAATTATTCACAATTTTAAATTTAATTTTTCTTGTTCTTGAACACAAATGAACTTAAATAAAATCACTTTCATTAGGTATGTCCGCACAAAACCTTCGTAGTTTTTAACTATCACGTTTGCGAAACCTCGAAGTTTTAAACAACACTGGGGGTTCACACAGCACCGGAACAGCATTGTTCGAGTTTTAAAATTACAAGCCGGTCAAGCAGGCGTTGTAAAGCCGCGACAGGCTGGTGAAACCTCTATAAGCTAATTATAGTGTCCGAGCGGCACATAATTATAGTAGGGAGTTTTCGCAAGCTTAACACGGACGGAGAATCTGCGGTTCGTGTGCAAAATCGAGAAGCTACTATATAGTAACCGACTAACCTTTCAGAAACACTTCCAATCTCCAATCGCTTCTGATATATGCACGACTGTCGAAGCCATGTTGGTCGTGATTCAGAAAGCGAAGAGGAATGTACTATTCGACAAACCAAATGTCTGCATCTCTAATGTTTGCCTATTTTGCAGGCGTCAAGATGTTTATCATATACTTTAAAAAAGAGTCTCTTGGTTATTTACACAGGCATAGTGGAATTACAGCTGGCATGGTATATATGAATCTTTCCATCACAGTTGAAGTAAGAATCAAAGACAGGGGCGTACTCGTCGTACAGTTTTCTACAAAGATGCCTATTCCATGAACAAGGCAAAACATAAAATAAATTTTCTCTTTCATTACCAATGAGCGAATAAAAATCTTGATCGCCCAAGCTTCCCTTGAATAAATATTTTCTCGAGATTAGTTCCGCTACGGGGGGATTGAGGTAGTAATTGTAGAGTTGGCTGCTCCTCATACGAGCAATGTCCAGTAGCACAACGCCGCTATTGAATCCCGGTAATCCATCGGGGGCCGGCGAACCCACGCGCGTAGTGGGATTGCGCGCACGGAACGCTTTGAACGCATCGCGGTACGTCGGCTGCTGATCATGCGCAATGCCCATGACGTTGCTGCCTTGGAACTTGTCGAAATGAGCAAAAAGGCCGCTGATGTCGGAGAGGAATTTGAGATCGGTGTCCAGCATGATGATTTGGTGAACGAAGTCAGGAAGGATCCCCCGATGGATGGCTACTGATAAGAAGAAGATGGATTGGTTGTAGTAACCCTGGGTATTGCCGCTGACGATCTGTTGGACAACCGATACAGATGAGGCAAGTTTCTTGGCGATTGTCTCCTGGTCCAAAAAGGTATACTGCATAGAATGAAACAAAAACAAAAAGAAGAAAATATAATATTAACACTTTTTGTTGAAGTTGAGATAATTGAAACGTTGAATAATTCACATGAAAGTAAATTAATGATTCCCTTATGAAGTTAATAAAATTTAATATTGACGTTTGCGGTTCGTTTAACATGCGGAATGTCATGAAAAGGACTGTTGGGTTTGAAAGGAGATGAGAAACTTTCTCTTCACGTAATGTTATCCAACGTATTGTTCCATTGTTCAAGCATACGTTAAAAAAAAAAAAGGGGGGGGGGGGAATAAGACAAAAATTCAAGGATAAGAAAAGAAAAAAATTAACCGAAGGAGGAGAAAAAAAAAACACACCCTAACATTTTAAAGGGATCGGGATCTTGGTCTCAGATTCTAAAACAAAATCCTGGATTTAGCTCATGCTGCAATGATAATTATAAACCTTTAGGTCAGTCAGGAACCCCATGACTTTTACGAGCCGATCGCCTGTGTGATTACCAAGATAATTATGATTGGAAATTGAAATTTCATTTTTCGTTTTCCTAAACATTTTTTGAAAACACTACAGTCTATTGGGGAAAATGGGTGAGTTAAAACTGGTTACTCAAATATTATTTCTTTTTGAGGCACTTCATAACCCCTGTGTATTAGGAGGGAACCACCCAACTGTTGTGTAAAGTCGTTACACAACGAAATTGCAGTGTAAGATTAAGCTTTCTGAGCAAAAGATATATTGGTTTCATTCTAAACTACAGAATAAAACCGGCGTTATATACTTTGCACAATGACAGTTCTAAGTATAGAAACAGATTTCGTAAAAATTCAAAACAGATTTGACGGCAGCTTGGACTTAATCCGTATAGATTCTTTTATGATTTTCACCAAAGTAGTAACAAATTTCAGTCGTAGTTTTTTATAAGCTATATATCTAGATAATTGGGGATATAGCTTACGAGGTCAATGGACCACAATCGGATTAAATCGTCCATTCTGTGCAGGATTAATTTTTTCCAAGCTCGGAAAAAGAATGATGTCATGTTTGCTTGGTATGTCCAAAAGATTGAAAACCCAGCATGAATGAGCATTAGAGAATGTTCAAGGTGCAATTGTTCGATTTTTGCACAATAAGAGATGTCAAGAAACGTTTTTTTCCCCTAGATACTAATCTCCATGCAAGCTCGGAAAAAGAATGATGTCACGTTTGCTTGGTATGTCCAAAAGATTGAAAACCCAGTATGAATGAGCTTTAGATTATGTTCAAAATACAGGTGCAATTGTTCGATTTTTGTACAATAAGAGGTGTCAAGAAGCGGGTTTCTTTAGATACTAATTTCGAATAGATTTGATGACTTGACGGGTAGATGGTATTAGGGACTTTTCCATTTGCACGTCGACATAGTGAACTGCTACGTGAGGCGTCCTTATAAGGCACTAGCAGTAAACGACATCACAGTGCATTATAAGGACGTCACACGTAGCAGTCCACTATGTCGACGTGCAAATTAAAGAGTTCCCATTAATTTGGACAGACGACATGCTTTTATGATCACTATTACGGACTTTTAGATTTGCACGACGACATAGTAGACTGCTACGTGTGACGTCCTTATAAGGCACTGGTAGTGCCTTAAAAGGGCATCACAGTGCCTTATAAGGACGTCACACGTATAGCAGTCCGCTGTGTCGTCGTGCAAATCTTAAAGTCCCTTTTCATAACCAGGGTCTACATTGGCAACTGAACGACATGTATTATGTAAACTATCACCATTAAAACAAATGAAAAGAAAGAAAGAAAGAAAGAACGAAAGAACGAAAGAAAAGAAAACAATACAAAAGTCAACAATGAAAACAGCAACGACTTTCGATGCGCTTATTGTTGACTGTCCAAAATGTTGTCAATGGCGAATGGAGGTGCTACAGGGGAGTAGGAGGGCACAAGCCTCCTACTCCCATCGAATGGAGGAAAGAATAAAAAGAGAAGAGACAACTAGAACGAAAGAGCAAGAGTAAAATGGAACATGAAAGATGAAATGACCCCCTTTCCGTATTCTCCCTCTGGTCGGTGGCCTTGCAAATTCATATTCTATCAACCCAATATGGTGCCGGTGCCCCCTACCCCATGCTGTTACTCCGTGCCCCCTTAATGGCTGGTCCTACGATATGCCACTGGTGGTAATGCGCAGCTTGTAAAGGTTATGGGGGGGGGGGGGGTGGGAATTAAAGAGAAGAACAGACCAGTTCACCAATGTATTCAAATTCTATGTGACCAGACTTGTTTATTAGAGACTTCTATACTAAGGGCGTTACGACAGGAAAAATTATCCGAAGCTTTTGCGAAATTACAGTATATCCAGCTTACGAGGTCTAGTTTGTAAGCACCCGCCTATCGCCGGTGCGGGCCGAAAAAGTACCCCTTTACCTGAGATTTGGGAACACGCATGCGGTCCCTCCGACTCCGGAGTGAGGGGGGGGGGGGGTTGCAGACACAACCCCATTGTCAGTCGATGTGCGTAACAGTGTCTGCATCATGATACCAGGGGAGGGGGCATTATGCTTTGTACTTTACACTATATGACAGACAAAGAAAGCGGACAAAATATACAGTTCCTCAGGTAGACAAAGGAACATCCCTTCACTGCTATTATGTAAAAAGGTGAATATGCATGTGACACCTGTTCTACACATTTTTACATAATAGCAGTGAAGGGATGTTCCTTTTTCTACCTGAGGAATTGTATATTTTGTCCGCTTTCTTTGTCAGTCATATTCATAGCTTTAAGGCTTTAGGAATTGTGATACAGACTGTGTCTGAATACAAATATCTATAATGGTGGACATCCGTATCTGGTACCATAGAATACAGACGATAACCATTGTGACTATTAATTGAGAAAGTAGCCGAGTGAAAAGATAAACGATTTTAATGAAGGAGGGAAAAAGAGCAAGCAAACAAAGAGATGAAGATCGATGAAGCTTAACGGAGAGGAACGAAAGAAAACTAGCTAGACAAAAATAGATGCAAGGGAGGAAAATGATAAATAGGAGTAGAAGAAGAGGGATATAAAAAAAAATGACAAGAAAAACAAGAGGACCTGGTAAAAATAAGAAATTAGATCACCGGAGCGCGTCTTTTTACAATCCGAAGCCCCTGCATGTTAATCCCTTTTCCGTATTTCCGGGCCTACTTCTCAAACAGAAGCACCTCGGTGAAATCCCACTTCAAAGGGGCTACACAATGAAAATATTTACCCGCAAGAAACAGGTCCCATTCTTACAAGATGTCAATAGGTATACAGATTAGCACTTGTAATACTGAACAACCCATCAGCCCCCTATTCGGTCTTTACAACGGGCAGAGACAGAAATCAATTTTATTGCCTTCTTAAAAGATGTCATTAGCAAACGCCCCGATGCCACCCAACCCTTTGAAAAAGCCAACACTATTTGTACCTCAGGGTCTCATCCTTTCTTGGACTGAATTTCAATGAACGCTGAGATTACTTAAAAATGTAGGCTTGAGGGTAAATAGTACAGATGTATGCATACCAGCGTCCTCGGAAGAATACAAGAAAATTATATTTGCTTTTCGCTTGTTGTTCCTTTTAACTTTTTAGATTTATTCCTGCGAGTCCCGAGCTACTCCGCTAGGAATGTTGAGCACTTTTTTCTTGAGAGTCAGAACCGCCCCCTCCCGCCCCCATCAATTCCACGGTAAATACCGTGTCGAAAACTATCGCAAATAAACGAAATGTGTAAAAACAATTATAGTATAGTTATAACCACAGTAATTATCATAAAGCTCTGCTTTACTTCAAGACAATCCACTGCATGCATTGTTGCAATGCAATAATGACTTTGTATTCAAATCGCCATTAATTGATTTGATTTCTTGAAAGTCTTCGCGATTGTGTTCAACCAACCAAATCAAATAGCCCTAATGAAAATAAAACGTAGTCATCGTAGTAAAGCCAATGAAATAGGTAATACGATTAGAAAAGGACAATTGTACCTTAATTTTTATACTAATAATGCGTTCTTGTATAGCGCATAACAGTTATGATATAACGTCCCTATGCGCTTCCAAACAGTTATGATACAACGTCCGTATATATGCATATATATATATATATATGCATATATGCGCTTCCAAATAGCTTTGGAAATCATTACCCTATAGCTTTAGGTCCGGCAGCCGTTAACAGAGCACAGTGGATTGTAAGGGACACTCCTACCAGGTATACCCATTTACCTTACCTGGGTGGAGTGAGGCAAATGTAGATTAACGTCTTGCCAAAGGACTATATTGTTGTGGCAGGGATTCGAACCCCTTATCTTGTGGCTCGCCGTCCAGAGACGTATCAGAGACGTATCTGGACCACAACGACAGTACGACTCTATAATGTACATGGTATTTCCTTACAAAAGATTAGAGTAATCCTTTCCTTAAACTTTTATCTTCTTTCCTCAAACTTGTATCTTCTTTCCTCAAACTTTTATCTCCTTTCTTCAAACTTTTATCTTCTTTCCTGAATCGAACACGCCAAAAATGCGGGTATATTTAGACTTCACTGAAGTAATATAATTTTGTATTACCTTTACGTAATTATCGGAGTACATTTGTCAAGGCATTGTTATATATACTGCATCCTTGACCAGCAATAATTTTATCTACTCTTCTGAATCAACATAATCAAATAAGCCGAATAGTGTTTCAAAGTGGCAGGTACTTTTGGCATCAGTCGTTAAAGTCGTGAAAGTTTATTACGATTGCATAACCCGTTAACTTTATGCTGGATATCAAACGCAAACTTGGTTTGGTTGGTTTAAAGCGCCACGTGGTATTGTTCTGTATTCCTCAATCAGTATCCATTAAAATCACGATAACAACGACTTTCTTGGAATCATAACAAATAATGTTCGAGTTACGTAATACAGCACTGCAACGTGTGCACATTTCAATGGGTCAGACAAGGGGCAATTTAAATTACCTCAGGTTAATTTTTGGAAAGTCTTTGAGATGGTGTTGAAACGCAATGGCCCGAATTCACAAAGGAGGTTTGTCGACAAACCTTGGTTTTCGTACGTCATATGACGCGTTTTACGCGATTTTTTACAAACCTGGTTTGTAAAGAACAAAAGGAGGTTTGGCGAAACAAAAGGAGGTTTGAACTCAAACCTTGGTCTGAGCTCAAACCTTGCTTTGTGAATTCGGGCCAATTAGTCTGAAATCAGTTGTATATTAATCTGTCCTGAACCTTTTATTTGAGCGCTAGCTCTGTGTACAAAATAATGAGATGTTTCCAGCATTCAACGAACTTTTACTTTCTAACAAATTTGAACAGATGCAACTCTCAGATTTTCGTTGTTTCCAATCACAGTTTCGAAGGAGGAAGGTATAGGGTTATCTCCTTATCTGATCACATCCCTGGTATACCTGCATTTTCCTTATCTTTCCTCATTGGGTTTGAAAGCGGATTAGTCTCGTATCAAACATTAAAATAAAACTGGGTATCGAATCACGAAACCGCCCTACAAGCACAATTTCACCGACATCAATTAAATTATACTTCCGACAGTCCCGTGAAAATGATGATCCAATAATAATTGATACCTAGATCTAGGGATGACGTTCATGTTAAGGCAAGAGTGAGATTCTGTTTCTTATTGGTAATTTTTAACAATATTTCTATATGTCAAAGTAATATTGAAAACGCCTTGCACGGCGAAGAGAGTCAACACTTGTAAAAAGATTTTTTTTTTTAAACCCCAAAAACATAATTGAAAACTTTCCTTAAAGTATGGCGGCAAAATATCTATTTTCAGCAAAGTACATGCATGAATTTTGCAACTGACAGTATTTACTCACCCCATTTCTTGTGTAAAAATGAGGGCTTCAATTTTCAATAATAGAGAGAAAAACAGAGAGTCTTTTGATCCAAAATTTTGCACGTACTTTCATCACCATATCTTGCTGCTACAGATATATTTTAGATAGGCCTGTTACATTTTGAGGGCTTGAAAATCCACGGTAAGGGCTTTAAATAATTTTGATTAAAACAGGTCCGAGCCTCCTCCGGCAACGTTTTCTGTAGTGGTCACACTGTGCTTATTCTGCAATGTTCTCTTGAAAGGAAGACGAGTGTAATACATGTATAAGTATGACCATCGTTTTTTCATAATAGCTCTGCTAAAACATGTGCGATGATAATACATGTAGGATAATGGCGCCCACAGCTTAAACGATTCGTATAAATAAGATGATGTTATGCCTTTTGCGATGTGTTCATTGTTGGGTAATACATTTCAAGTTCGACTCAAGTCCATTTTCAAGTTATTAAGGTATTTCTGCATGACAAGGGAATGAAAATTATTTTTAAAGAAATCAACAAAAAGAGGATAATAGAGATAAAAAGAGGACGTTCAATATAAAAAACACACTGATGATGAATACCTAAATCAATAACGAAATAAAGAATATAAAAGGCAAGAAACCGACTCTACAATAAGAAAAGAATAGAAACTAATAAACTAAACATCTTGGCATCAAACAATGACAGGTATTATTGTCATCGATCTGTTGTACTCTTTTTACCTTATAGCCACCTGCTCTTTCGAACAAAAGCTAAAGAAAATTCTTTCTAAAGGGGCAGGTTGGGGAATGCGATGGGTTTATCGATCGCTTATATTCTTCTTAAAGCCATCGTTTAACAATGTTAAATCTGAGATGCACGGCCCTACGTGTTATCAGTGTCTGTGATATGGTGTAATATTGAAGCCCTAAAAAAGTCGCGCTTCAAAATAATCAAGAAGTGCCTCAAAAAAGTAAAAAAAAACTCTTTGAGTGACCGGTTTTACCATACTCGGTTTCCCCAATAGACTGTAGTGTTCAAACGGTTTTCAAAAATTGTAATTCCAATCATAAATATCATATCATAAATGATAATCAGACAGGCGATCGGTTTGTAAAAGTCATGGGGTTCCTGACTGACCTAAAGGTTTATAATTACCATTGTAGCATGAGCTAAATCCAGGATTTTGTTCCAGAATCTGAGACAAAGTTACCGGATCCCTTTAAATGGTCTGTAAGGCAATTTCCATTTACTGTATATTGACGATTAGCTTGCATGACATCTTTCGTCTTCTTTGTAAGTTCCAAAGGCAGGCAGCCAGTGAAAACGAATTCGTTTAATACAATTATGGACATGCAAGCATTGCTTTAAACAAACAGAACTTTGTTATTCCTGGCTCATTTATCCTGATTGAGGTGTCAAATGAAAAGGGCAGAAAATGAACTTTCTAGAAATGTGATATTTTTTCTTTGATAATTCAGATACCGTTCGCCAAATGACTTTTTAGGTACACTTTCTTCAAATTGTTTTTAATCACTCATGCGTGAAATATTCATCATTATGAGTTGCAACAAATGAAAAAGGAGGATCTATACCATCTGATAATCCTAGCTATTTCGGTTTAAAATGTAAAAGAATATTAGTTGAATATTATTGCGTTATTTATTTTGAATGCAGTTATTATTTTGTGTAATGCTTTTTACAATGTTCATTATAATCTGTTTTTATGTCAAAGATTTGTAAAAAATCGTGCAATTCAGCCTTTGGGCTGCAATGTGATTTTTTGAATAAATAAACCATTATATATAAATAAACCATTATATATATATATCTAAGCTTTGCAAATATTTGTTATTTATTAATTATAATTGTGATTAAGTTATGATAAAACATCGATAACTCTCGGTTTTGTTTTTTTCCGGAACGCACTGTATAGAGAAACCTTTTTTCTGCGACAAAGAGAATGACTAATGCTGGTGGGCACCTCTCTGTCTTGCTTTTCTGGATTGTATATTTTGTAGTTGCATAAAATTGGTTATTATGGTATGAAGGTCAAAACCATATAACTTCATCTTTAAAGCTAATCTGGAGCTCTGGTATATGGGAATCGCATTTTGAGAGAAAATTGCTATGATTCATTCTGGATTGTTTATCCTGCAGTAGATTGGTTGTTTGAACAAGTGAAATAAATACTTACTGGAAATCATCTTCAATAAAAACTACAACTCACTCGTTTGCACATGATGACCTGTGTTTAAGCAGCCAATATCCATTTTCTACCAAAATTGTGAAGCAAATGTCATGTAATCTTGAATATTCAGTGCAGGTTTCGTTGGGTTTCTGTGAGACTTTATTTTCTATATTTACCAGATGCACCTTTTGGTGAATCTATTCAAAATATATATTTACTGTCAGAAAAGAAAACCGGGGACCTCGGATCATTATAATGATAGGCAATATAATGTTGGGTATTCCGGGAGCACAATATTAACGATGATTACAAGAAAAGTAAAAAGGAAATCAGGAAAATGCCACAAAGGTACAAAAATATAAAACATCACTTTTTGATAATGATCAGGACACAAGATAAGATAAGAATGTACCTAGCAAGCGTAATAGCGTATAGGGGGAGGGGAGGGGGGGGGGGATATATAGATTTAAAATTAAACACAATCGCAAATATTTTCAAAAAATCACACCAAGAGCTGAGCAATATAAAAACCCTATGGAACTGCCCCGATAGAAATCATCTCCAGGCTGCGTAAATGGTCGTTATAATGTTGGCAAATTTCAACGGGTGATGGGGTGTTATAGTTTGATTTTTCGAAAGTCGTTCCGATCGAGTTGTAACTTTATAAGAAATAGTGGTAATGGCCTACCTGTATCTCTACTTTTGACCTGTACTTCCTGCTGAACATCGTCATCGTCTCTTCCAGATAGAGCCTACTTGGCTCGTCAACCACAAAGAAGAAAAACAAAGGAATAGACGACTTCTCTAGGATCGACTTCATGCACACCTCAAACCGTTTCTTGTGGTACGGCATGGTCTCTACGCTCGTGAGGGGGATCAACACGTAGCGGAATCGTCCCGGGTCGTCACTCGGCGGCGAGGAGATCGACCTCCGCAGGATCCCATCCGGCGCGCTTTTGTTGTTGTCGAAAATTTTGGCGGGCAGGTTGAGGTAGTCTGCAAAGCGGCTGACGCGATGCCGCGTGCTGGCGTCCTGACTGGCATGGAGCATGGGCCCCACGATGGCGGTCAGGTAACCAATCCAGAAACAACCGATGATGACGAGGACGGGTCGGAGGAGGGACCAAGTTATCCAGGTGATATGTTGATACTTGGTCAGTGACTTGGGTCGGACTAGGGGTAGAGGATCCGAGGTTCTTCTCGTGAAACACAACATCTTCGAGGAAATCAAATATTTAACAGTTCGAAGTGATGATAGATTCTTTGAGAGTCGATGGGGAGGTTCAATTGTCTTCCCCTTGAAGTTCGCTACGACAAATGCGTGACTGATAAAAATCCTTTCCGATAAAGAGATCTTTTAATTTTTCTTCCAACATGCGATACGCATTGGTCAACGCGACATTATGAAAAGAAAGTTAGTAGGCCTATAGCTATTGTAGCGACGGCGATGTAATAAAGGAGCGAAATAGACCGCAATTACCGCAATTATCTTGTCAAGTCTTTTATTGCGCTTCGACAAAACTCCACTCTCATTGAGGTCAGTCTACAACATGTGAGAAGAGCGTACGTCATGCAACCATCTCCTTTTGTTGCGAGAAATCGAAACGTTCCTGGAAGAAATGATGGTCGGGACACTCGGGTGGTCAATAAATGAAGACTAACTGGTCATCTTGTAAAATGGTCATCTAGATCCAAGGTTCACTAATATTCAGCGCCGCCGCGCGCGCGCACTGAAAAACACACTCACTTATGTGCTATTAGCTGTTTATCGAGACAGACTCTGACAGAGATAAACCTCGCAGGTGATTGTGTGCCTGGCTGGTTGACGACAATGATTGTTTGCCTGAGATACGAGCGAATAATATACCTGTGTATGTGCGACCCGACACACTTTACCTTGCATGCCTTGAGCTAACATCTTCCAGTCTTTGCGGTAATTAGTGAATGGCCATCTGATTGGTGTGACGTCAGATCTGCCGCACTTAGCAAATAAGACACGCATTCACCTTGTGGAAACACAAAAAGAAAGTATAGGTTTTGTCTGTTTAATCAAGTTTTATTGTCATCGATCTGTTGTACTCTTTTAATCTTATAGCCACCCGCTCTTTCGAACAAAAGCTAAAGAAAATTCTTTTTAAAGGGGCAGGTTGGTTAATGCGATGGGTTTATTGATCGCTTTTATTCATAGTCTCTTAAATGGTTTGTATAAGGTAATTACAATGAGATTTTTCCTTACATTGATCCTCAAAGTTGTATACATTTATTTATAGAACATTGAAGAGATCGACGATTGTGGCATAATAGGTTATTAAGGAACAACTGATTGTCCTGCTGATCTGTATAGATCAAGTATCAACTCTTATTATGATTATGAAGGAATAACACACGACTGCATCAGGCTCTCAAGATAAGCCTAATATTGCAGAAAACAGGATTTAACACAAATTAGTGTTAAAGATAGGCTTCAGTTCTGATGACAGAAAATAAATTCTCACAGAATCCAATAAAACTTACAATGAATGTTCAAGATTACAAATAAATGACATTTGCCGAACGATTTTGGTAGAAAATGTATAGGGGCTGAGCAATGAGCATAGAACGATAAGGAAATCCAGGTACGTAGGCGTGACACCATGACTTGTGCTTTACACGGATCACTACGTCCACCTCCCTGGTGCAAATGAGAGTTGTGGTTTTTATGAAAGATGATTCCCAGCAAGCTTTTGTGAGTCTGTGTTTATTTTACTAGTTCAAACAATCAATCTACTGCAGAATAAACAATCCACAATGATTCAAAGCCATGTTCTCTCAACATTACGATTCCCATACCAGAGCTCAAGATTAGCTATACGGTATATAGAAACGGCACCCATTTTGCCGTAAATAAACAAGGATCACGGCTCATTATCAATTAACCCTCGCTTTGGTTTTTTTTTTCAAACTTAAAGAGACTATGAGGCCAAGGCAGTTTCATTCATGACTTCATGAAACCATAACGCCAATAATTATTTTCATAACTTAAAGCTAGGACATTGTAGAACCGTGTGAAATCTACCCCTCACGAAGATCCTTTTTTTGTGTCCAAGGAGCCAGTAAATGTACTTCCACAATCCATTTTTTCCGCGTGTAGAAACGGTCATCCATATCGTTACTACTATTATTAATATAATAATCACTATCATATTTATCTAATGAACACCACTTTCATCAACTTTACCGGGCTATCATTATTTTATTTCTTTATTATTGTAATATCAATATTATTTTTATATCGTTATCATATCAAAGTCATGTTATCATCATAACCACCACCACCACCATAATCATTTCAAAATCGATAGATATTTTTACCTCTGTATATCGCTAGATAATATTAAGGATATATTGACTGCTTTGAGAGGCATAGTGGTTTCTATAGGGTCAAGGGAAACTCACAACCTGCTATGACCCCAAGGCGCTTGCGCCGCGGGGTCATAGCAGGTTGTGAGTTTCCCGAGACCCTATAGAAACCACTATGCCTCGAATATTAAAAGCAGTCAATATATATTTTATATACCGAAAAAAAGGAAAATGTTGACTCGCCCATTTAGGTTTCCATCTCTTTGAAGTCATGAATATTAACACCAACAATAACTTGTGTACAGTATGAAATCCAACAAGCTGTGCTCCAGTAGAACAGGGAATACCAAACACGTTTACACGAACAGTAACTTTTGTACAGGATGATATCACCTGAATGCAGCGACCAAAATCGAATTGCACTCAAACACCGTTAACGGTATTGCGCATCGGTCATCGCACAAAAGAAACTTATACGGTAACACGTAAACCAAAATGGGGATCGCAGCAAAATGACGTCACGTTTCACAGCCATGGAAAAAGTGCTATGAAAAATGGATATAAACCGGTAGAGCCGGGAAAAATGACTATGAATTTCAATTAGCGGGCATGGTTAAGAACATGACTGCATTTTCAACCAATCAGAAGACAGGATTAGTAAAGAATCTTAAAATGAGGTATATAATGTGCATTATGCATAGTTCGAAATTATATAGAATTATGAAGCATTGTGAACATATTGGTATACAGAGGGGCATTAATCCATCTTCATGGATGGTCTATACATGTAAAATGAACGCTCGAGTCCATATTGGAATTATTTTGATTTCTAAATTAATTAGGCAACTATAATTACGCATCGTTTTGTACCAACTGACTCACTGAATTGAAAACGGGAACAAAAACATAAACAAATCAAAAGAAAAACACGAAAGCATAAACAAAGAAAGAAAGTAAACGTAAATTCTACATGTATATTCGATGTACAAATCGTGTGTGCGGGTGGTTGTGTATGTGTGTGTGGCAGAGAGGGAGAGAAGCAGAGGAAAATAGAGACAAATATATTTATATAGTCAGTCAGAGAGAGATCGAGCGAAGGTGATGAATAGATACAGAGATGAATTGAAAATAAAATGAGGCAGATATTAGGGGGTAGCATTTATTAAATAGTCCAGGGGCAGAGTAGGAAATGAAGACACACAGAGAAGAGAAGAGAAGATAGAGAGAGACAGAGAGAGATTGAGTGAAGAGGATAGAGAGATACAGAGACGGATTGAAAAGAAAGCGAGTCAGATAAAAGAGATAGTATTATAAGAGAGGCTATAGGGGCAGAGGAGGAAATGAAGAAACACACAGAAAAGAGAGAGAGAGAGAGAGAGAGAGAGACATACATACATAGTCAGAGCGAGTGAGAGAAGGTGATGGAGAGATGCATAGAAGGATTAAAAAGAAAATGAGGCATAAAGGAGGTAGCATTTATCACAACGACCAGGGGCAGAGAAGGAAAGGCATTCAGACAGAGAAGAGAGAAAGAGAGAGAGAGAGAGAGAGATTGTCATAGCAACATGCAGAGAAAGACGAAGCGAAAGCTAACACTGATATCCCACACTCCTTACAGCGTACACCTTGCAAACAGAGAAATACACAAGAAACGACCTTAAAAATCTTAAACACACAAGTTGTGAAAATGCAATCAGCTTTACAGATCTAATATCGTTTGTTACACGATTAGATATGAAAATGACATAACATAAGAATACGCCTGCAAGTTTTACTTCTCTACGATTTATTATTTGACATATTAAAACATTTCAAGAATAATTCCAATAACTTACAAATTATGAAGCAAAATATTTATACCATGTTATTTTTGAAGTCGGTGTAGGTACTATTAGATACGAACGGATTAAAGCTCGTGGGATGAATAGAAAATGTGTATTAAATTAAATGAAATAATACAAAATCAAACCACAATAACAAAAATTCATACAAATTGTAAATCATGGTTGTCTACAGTGTTCATCTGCAGAACGAATAAAACCATTAAACACTAAACAAACAAGGAAATTACACATACAATCCGGGGCTAAATGTCTTGTCAACGACAAATGCGTTTAGTAATAGGATACCAGATTTAGAATCCAAACAATCATCAACGATGACAAATCAAATTAAACACTGAAACAAACAAACACCAAACTAACTATTCTACAATCTTAAATAAGTGAGGTAGACATGGTTGTGAAAAGGAAGTAATATGTAATAAAACATAACTTCTGAACAGGTAGTGCAAAGTGCATTTAACTCCTTTAATCAAACGTCGATCAATTACAATAGACCATTTTCGTAATGTTTTTAAATGTAATGCTTAAATCTTTATTAAATGCCGTATTAAAAAATATTTCATTCATCTTTTACAAATGATCGTATTTCAATAGTCAAAATGCGATTTGCAATATTAGCTGTTGCTAGGTAGGACGAGCCACAATGTTTGTCCTACCTAGCAACAACTTATTATTGAAATACAGTTATTCGTATAGCAGGTGAATGAAATAATTTGTAACGAGGCACTTAACCAAGATTTATCCATTAAATGTAATCACATTACGAAAATGGCCTATTACAATCGTTTCGTATAATATAATTATATCAAAAAGTACAAAGTTCAAATGTTGATAATCAGTGGAACATAGGTACAAAAGACATTTATTTTAATAAAATCATAAAGGAAAACATAAAGTAAATCGGATGATACAATAATGCCTTACTGTATAAATAAATACGGAAAACCAATTCTGTTCAAGAAATAACTTGTTGGCAAATTCAGATTAGTCTGTATAGTCTCTAAATGAAGCCATACTATACAACACAATGGCAACATATCACTTGTATTTATATCCGTCCTCCATTAATCCCCACAAATTATTTCACCGGGGCCTACAACTTTACAAGCTTGCTTAGATACAGGTCCCATCATATTTCTATGTTAAATCAGTACTATATATTGACCTCTTATTTTTATGTTATTTATTATGTATTATTGAGAAAAAAAAATTAATATTTTGAAATGTATATGTAACATGAGAAATATGAAAATAAATGAAAATGAAAAATGAAATTTCACGGGTATAAGTGTATCATTTGCAGAAGCATGGTGGGAGTATCAGGGGAGAAAATGCGATTATGTCGACAGGCTGCCAAAAACAGATCTTAGATTTCAGTCCTTGACCATACAGCAACGTTGCTACGGACGCATTCTCGTTGCTATGACGATGTCGACAATGGATTTCCCCCTATTCGCCCGAACCACCTATCCGCCAAAGCCATAGAGAGTCCGTCCTTGTCGCTTGAGGGCGTAAACTACATCCATCGCAGTGACTGTTTTGCGTTTGGCATGCTCGCAGTAGGTTACAGCATCTCTGATAACGTTCTCGAGGAAAACCTGGAAGAAAGACAAAAAGTGTTAAATTCCAATTTATCCAAATCTATATATTCAAAAAAGTAAATCTAATTTGAAAAGAAAAACATCAAAACAGGCAGGCGTAAATACTCACTCCTTAATGATAAACGCCTATAAACCTAAATAACAACAATAACAGAGAGAGACACACACAAACAGGGAGAAAGAGAGAGAGGCGAAGGGAGAGAGGCGGAGGGAGAGAGGCGGAGAGATAGACAGACAGAGACAGACAGACAGACATACAGACACAGAGAGAGAGACACACATAGAAGAGGGGGCGGGAAATGATAAATAGGGGATGGGGTTGATGTGTGACAGAATTTACTTGAGATGAAAGAGGAAAAAGCAACAACGGGTAGTAGCGTTGGCCTCACTCATTACAGAACAAAGCTCTTAGCATATATTCATCGAACTATTTGCAGAATTGCAATCCACATGAGGATTCAAGTATATTTTTAGCATTGTTCAAAAAAATTATCTTGAATAATTGTCAATCAAAAATAATCAAGCCTAGGAGCTGTACTGTTTTTTTTTCTCTAGGTATAATACTTTGAACTTTATCAGACATGATCTTAAAAAATACAACAAATATTATATTGACAAACTTTTTGAAATACTAACAAAATTAGTACAAATACTATTTTCCAACTTTCAATTTAAATCTATCAATGAGAATAATAACTTCCACTCGTCGATCACTCGGATAAATATGTAATTCAATTATCAAAACATTTCGGTACGCATGGATGACATTTTTAATTCTATAATACTTTTGGTTAAAATCAAATGTTGTTTTTGAAAACAACAAAAACAAAGAAGCTGTCTTACCTTCAAAACGCCACGGGTTTCCTCGTAGATGAGACCGGAGATTCTCTTGACACCTCCCCTCCGGGCCAGGCGTCGAATTGCTGGCTTGGTGATCCCCTGGATGTTATCACGCAACACTTTCCGGTGCCTTTTGGCGCCGCCCTTCCCCAGTCCTTTCCCGCCTTTTCCTCGCCCCGACATGGTGATATGTCGTCTGCTCTCACTTGATTTACGCTAAACCCGAAGCTACGATGACCTTTTCTCTCAAAATTACTACGAAGGGACGAATAAAGTAATTTCAAGTTTTTGTTTATTGTGGCTTTCGGCAAAATGATGTGCCTATACTGTCGTTCTAGCTTTAAAAAAAAAAAAGCTAATACGAGTAAAGATATCGTGAGTTCAAATTATCAATATGATCTTGCGTACTCAATCGACCGAAAATTTGAATGGTGTTTTCCCGCTGCATAAATTTACATCCTATTAAAAAGCTTAGCTAATCAGCAGCAGCACGCGGCGGCAGATGCTGTTCCCGTTTAGGTACATATTAAATTTATTACACGTGTGTTACTTCTCTTTTGAATTGAGAGTTCATTGATCCCTCTCTCTAATTTACATCATTCTGTCAAGGAATTTAGGTCATCAATCGACCATTGTTTTGCTGCATTTAAACACTCTGCTAACAAATGTTTTGACGAGGCATTTAATAAAGCCATTCCAAACAAGAGTTGCCTTTGTAAATCTATATTTTTTCCAATGTCTTAGAACTAATGCATGTACTTGTACCTGCAACGAGCTCTAAACGTTCGGCACAAATACAGACGGGATAAGAGAAAGGTCTGCATCTCTTCGGTATACATTACCATACCAATAAGATTACGCATTCAGTTTTATGGTAGCATTTTTCTTATATTCCTGGTGACAAACTAAAGCTATCGGTTTAAAGATGATAACATCTTCGTTGATAGAATCCAACATCGACCTTTCATGTGATTTTTGTTTATTCACCATTTCAGACAAAATACATAAACAATACAATTTACATAACAAATCAAAAATTACAATAAAGTTTCTATTAAAACTATAAAGTTGTAAAGTTAATATGGCTGGGATACCCCCTCCCATAAGCATAGGCTTGACCGTTGCTTTGTCAAGTGACCCTCAGACAGTCGTCATCGACATCCTTCGTTTGAAAAATATGCATGCCGGTGACGAACTCTGACATGCTGTTTTCTAAAAGAGTAGGAATTTCTGAAAAACGCTTTTCAAATTTCACACTGGAGACTATATACCGATTTACTGACATATTAAAATTGTATGCATACTGTTTAAACGAAGGTTGTTCTCGACAACCTGAAAGCTTGTCCGAGGCTTGTCTGACATAGTAACAAGTAATGTATGCAGACTGGATTCCAAGTATTGTAATTCATCCATTAATAGCAAATTAATGAAATAACTTTTATCTATGTTAAATATGTTAGTGAACGGTTAGTGAACTGGGTATTAAGTATTCACAGAACATTCAATCTGGAAAAAGGAATCTGTTTGACGAGACAATGCCACATCAGATTCTGAAAAAGCAAGTTGTATGCCTGACCAGAAAAGACTCTTACCGAGGAACAATAGAAAGCATTCCAACTACGAAGCTTCCTGTATTATTGTTGAGCTATTCCATACACCTGTCTAGTCATTATTCTTGTTGCTACGTCGCTCAAGGTTGAGCAAGTAGCACGGAATTTGACAATGAGGAGAATGATGCGTGCATACACAATACTGGGCATGCTCTCTGCAAGTAAACGGTTCCATGGATTTAAGATCGGAGGATTTGCCGCCATTTTTTATTTCTCTAAAATATCTCGACCACACCCAAACCATTTTATGTTCTGATTTTTTCCCAATCAACTCCTACGTATTTAGACAATCAATTTGTGTTAATTCTTGCCATATTCCGTGCCGACATCACTACTAAGTTTGCCATTGAGCGATAAGTTCCAGCGCAGAACAGACAGGCAGACAGGCAACGCTCCTTTTCTTAGTATTTTGTGTTTGATTTTGGCGGGAACATTTTTGGAGAATCATGAGTGGACGCGGGAAAGGAGCTAAGGCGAAATCAACCAAGTCAGTCACCCGCAGCTCCAGGGCTGGTCTGCAGTTCCCCGTCGGTAGAGTTCATCGGTATCTCAAAAAAGGTAAGGAGCTAGATGTGAAAGGAAAGTTTATTTCGCTCCTAAAGCACAAGTTTAGTTTGAAGGCTTTTCCAAAATGATAAGAAATGATGCAGGTACATAGGATCTGCAAATTACGTGAATTTTTTTCTCGTTTTTCTCGCTTAATCATAAAGGCAGATAACACATTTTGAGTCGAGATTTAAAATAAATTTTAGAGATCACTGACAATTCGAAATAAAAAAAGTAAAGATATTTTTTTTACGGGGAGAAGATAAACCCTATATTTGGATTGTTAATTTGATGTTTTATGTATCGTGAATGTAAAAAGGAAAATGTCGATGAAACATCGAAAACTGGTGATAAAACAGCCAGAAGGAGAGGGAGAGGGAGAGGGAGAGAGGATCCGGGAGAGGATGTATAACAAAAAATATAGAGAGAGAGCACATTATAAATTCGGGTGTGGTTGGAACTTTGTTTAACAACTTTCCCGAGATGATAAGATCCCCTCTTTTCCTATTCGCACATTACATTAAAGGAAAGGCTGTAGATCCCCTTTAATGACATAAAAGGAGTCAAAATGGAGTATGTAGGAATGGCAGAAGAACAAAAGTGATTTAGTATCGAGATGAAATATTTTTATTGCATGATGACAGCGCTAGCCTGGACTATCATCCCAGACGATTAACCATCTAAAGTACCCCAAGTACCTTCAGAATAACCAGATGGTCCTTTGATTAAGGATAGTTGTTTGGAGTATATCACTTTTTCTTTAAATCTGACAAGCATGGCTTTACGCCCTACGTGTTATCAGTATCTGTGATATGGTGTAATATTGAAGCCCTAACAAAATTAGGCTTCAAAATGATCATGAAGTGCCTCAAAAAAGTAAAAAATCTTTTGAGTAACCGGTTTTACCATACTCATTTCCCCCAAATAGACCGTTACGGTCTATTTGGGGGAAATGAGTATGGTAAAACCGGATACTCAAAAGATTTTTTACTTTTTTGAGGCACTTCATGATCATTTTGAAGCCTAATGACTTTTACAAGCCGATCGCCTTTCTGATTATCAAGATATTTATGATTGGAAATCGAAATTTAAAAACTCGTTTTCCTAACGGTTTTCATAAGACTTATGAAAACCGTTAGGAAAACGAGTTTTTAAATTTCGATTTCCAATCATAAATATCTTGATAATCAGAAAGGCGATCGGCTTGTAAAAGTCATGGGATTCCTGACTGACCTAAAGGTTTATAATTATGATTGCAGCATGAGCTAAATCCAGGATTTTGTTTCAGAATCTGGGGCAATGTTACCGAGTCACTTTAAGGAGTAATTATCTAAATGTCTCGAGTGTCTGAGGGAACGTTTTCTTTAAATAAGTTGTCCGTAATGCCTATTAGGATTAATTGTACCAAAATCAAGAAAATTATCTTTCTTTTACGTGTTATAGAGCTGGGAACAAAATGTAATGGACAAACTAGCAAATTATAATTATGAAATGCAGAATGGTCCGCAGGAACATCAGAAAAATTCATGATTAATCATGATTAAATCATTCCCGGGAGCAACTTTAGAATACCCCACCACTAAAGTTGACCAAACGTTAGTAAGGTACCAAATGCTTCACCAATGAGCTTTTTAAGTAAAACTTAATCCTAACTCTAACTCTAACCCTAACTCTAAGCCTTTGAAGTTTATGTACATTAAACCTGTTGCTGGGGTATTCTAAAGTTAAGCCCATTCCCGTGCTATTTCACCCCTTTACTTACTTTATTCCTATCTTTCATTTAGGCCAGTATGCTACACGGATCGGTGGAGGTGCAGCCGTGTACCTCGCTGCAATCCTGGAGTATCTCTCAGCTGAAATCCTGGAGCTTGCCGGGAATGCAGCCCGGGACAATAAGAAATCCCGAATAATCCCGAGACATCTTCAGTTGGCCATCCGAAATGACGAAGAACTAAACAAACTCCTGAATAATGTCACCATCGCATCGGTATGTAACATGAGAACATAAGTTCTTGCCATTTCAGATTTGTTAAGAATTAATGAAACAAGATTGCACAGTATATCTACAAGTTTTACAAATCCATCATTGTCGCTGCCTGAAAGTAAATTAGATTATAATATCATTGAAAAAGAAAAAAGGTAAAATTGTTCAACCAAATTGGAACAGTCTATATTTGTTCTTGTTTCGGGTTAAGAATTGCCAGGAGTCACATCAGAAATTGGACAACGTATAGGAACGTCTCTTAATTTTATGTCGCGCAAATGTGGGACACCTCATTGTATTCCACGAAAATTTGCTTGTATTTAATCAAATGTTTCATAGAACTTATGTTCATTCATTTCCTAACTATTTCTGACAACTATACTTGCTAAATTAAGGAAATAAATCTTATTTAGAACCCTTAATGAATCTTGACTGATATTTTCAATGATTCTGACTCCGTAACAATCATATTTGAAGTCATATCTGTCCCTCGCCCTTGCTTTGACCATGTTTACGTCATGGAAGGAGTGAGAATCTTTAAAAATTGTCTAGGAATTATCGAAATCTAAACCCAATATCCCTATTCGTCCTATTTCTTATCTCCAGGGTGGTGTGATGCCCAACATTCAAACGGTCCTCCTTCCAAAGAAGAGTGGTAAGGCAGCAAAGCAGACTGGACAGAGTATGGAGTACTAGCTGCCTAGATCGTCACTTTCTGCACCCTCTCGGCACCACATCGGCACCCGCTCGTCACCTCCACATGTCCTCGCCACCCCTCGTCACCCCTCGTCACCCCTCGTCACCCCTCGGCATCCTTTCGCCACTTTCTCATCACCCTCTCTGCACCCTCTCGGCACCCTTTCGTCACACTTACGTCTTCTGCTCGACACTCACAGGACGCGCTCCTCGAACGCCGTTCATCTCGTTGTTTCGGTCCGCGGTGCCCCACACCTATCACTGCGTTGCGTACTACTCCTTTCCCCGTATTGTGATTTCCTGAAGAAAGATGAGCGTACACATATGGTGGTGTTTCTCTAAGATCCTAAGTTGAACTTATCTATTATGGAAAGCCGTTAGCATCTTTAAAAATATTTTGTAAAAGTTAATTCAAAAGGCATAAAATGTTGTTTCAAATCATTCATATTTTCTATTATCATGGGAGATGTCATGTTCTTGATGTGGAATTCATGAAAAGTCTAAAATACAATTTTCGCTTTTAAATATATTTAATTTTAAGGCTCTAAATGGCTCTCCATAATGTTTTAAGTGCAACTTGGAGTTAAGTTCAACTTAGGATCTTTGTGAAACACCCCCATGGTTTGTTTGCTGTCGTCACCAAAAGCTCTTTGTGGGAGCGAGTATTTGACTATAGGGCTAAATTATATCTCCAATTTATTGCGCTTTGTTAACGAAAGCATGGCTTAGTTAAGAATAGCCTTAGGCAGTCGGACTGATGCAATGGAAGCAAGCAAATGCATTCAAAAACATCAAAATAACAGGTATAAAGATACTCTTGCAGAAAAATTCACTAAACTTTGTTTTAAATACAATTGTAGAAGAATAAATGTGGTATTATCTGAGAGTCTTTCATGTCTTATGCATTAGTTAGATTTGTATTAAACCATGTAAAATATTGTTACTTCCCACTTGATATCCAAATCACAAAAACAAACTTTGGACAAAATGGCCGACATCGAGTAAATAAATCGTAAATTATAGTCGTATTGCCTTTTAAATCTTTTTGGTTCACGGGAGATGACATTTTAAAACCGTACTTCAGACGCTCAAGTCTAATTAGAAATCAGCTTTCTTCCCATTATCGCTCCCATTTTCTTATTGTAAATAGCTGTGTGCATAATAGTAGTAATCATATGATGCGTTTTATGTTTTTTGTGGTATTTGGGTCTGTTATGTATTTTGTTTGACAATGGTAAAAAAAGTGTTATATGGAATATCAGTTGAATAAAGTTTTATCAATAAATCTTCCGATGCAACAATTGTCATTATTCTTGAGTAGCCTTGATAATCGAATAAACTAAGAATGGAGGGATGTGTAATTTGCATCACTAAGAGCTATCCAATCTATGCTTTGATTCCGATATATTTCCTTCTGTTAGATGCGGATAGTCTGCGTTTCAGTTTAACGTAATGGGGGTAGCTAATGTGAAAGGGAAACCACATTGATTTAAAGCTAATGTTGAGCTCTGGTTTGGGAATCATATTTTGAGAGAAATACGCTATTTTGGATTGTTTATCAGGCAGTAGTTTGGTTGTTTGAACCAGTTTAATAAAAAATAAACGCACAAAAACTTACTGGGCATCTAATTCGATAAAAACCACAATTCCCATTTGCACGTAGTGACTTGTGTTTAAGCACATGGTTCGGGCCCCGGAGTTGGGTCTACTTCCGGATTTCCTTATCTTTCTGTGCTCATTACTCAGCTACTAGGGAAGTAAGAGCATATTTTTTTTTTTTTTTTTTTGTGTCCAAAATTTGAAAATTGGGCCGATCGATATTTCGTTTCGTTGGGGGGGGGGGGAGGGGTCAACTCCCCCCCCCCCCCCGGCGTACGCGCCTGATGTGTACTCACTTTTGAAAGCGACAATAAAAAACACGTGTGGTTTGATTTTTTTTATATATTTATTTTCTTGCCATGTGTTTCTTCCCATGTTCACGCACAAAGAATTGCTAGCCTTCAAACAACACAGGGTTCCCAACCAAGGTGTCTATATTATCGGGTGTTTGGGTGTTTTCCTTTATTCACATGGTCCCCGGTTATCGATTTCCAAACACCCAGGTTAATAGCGCAATGTCTGTAAACGCCAAAGGAATGATTATGAATATGGCATTTTTGTAATGTAACCGAATTAAATGCATAAGTCTTTGTGAAGTGCCTCCATACAAGTTATTTCATTCACCTGGTAAGAATAATAGTATTTCAATAGTCAGAATGCAAACTGCATATATTAAGTTTTGCTAGGTAGGTCAAGCCATAATTTTTGTCCAACCTGGCAACAACTAATGTATGCAGTTTGGATTATGTCTATTGAAATACTATTATTTTTACCAGGTGAATGAAATAATTTGTATTGAGGCGCTTCACAAAGACTTATGCAAATACTTGGTTACATTACGAAAATGGCCTATTGCACAAGTTTGATCAGTTCGTTTTGGATCACCTACAGGTTTGATTTTTTGGACAGGATTTTTTGCAACGTCGGTAGAATGCCCTGAACCATGTCTTCTTGAATAGGCGGGAATCACTGCACTGAGGAGGGTGGGGAGGGGGCGGGTCTAACTTATGATTTAGAAGGGTCACAACATTAGATGCTCCCCTCCCCTCTGCAATTCGGTGTATTTTATTCTAAAACGAAACCAATCAGGACAATTTTTTTTTTTCAGTAAAAAACACCCAAATGAGTGGACCTTTTCTTTTTCCTTGTCAAATAATTTGGGAGAAGAGAAAACACCTATCAAATGCGATGATTTTGTTGGTAAAAAAAGATAATTGTGGAGTAAAAATATATCTCCTCGAAGTTCAAAGAGCTTTTCCCACCCATTGTCTCTTGTACCTTCTAAAGGTAATACAAATTATCAGATCTATCTGGTCGTAGACGAGTCAGATGCACCGAGTAAAATATTTTATTTTTCTACCGCATCCATGACCTATACCGAGCTACAGTGGTTTTCCATCTTAACCCTCTGTGTTAAAAAACAGGTTCCTTTTTTGTTGGTTAAATAGCCACTTTGACCTCTATTTAAAAAAAAAAAATGTTATGATATTATTTAAAGTTTTATTTTGTAAAACCATCTCAAATGCAAAAAACAACGCATAACTTATGTACAGTATAATCAAATAAAATAAGGATTCGTCTTATCCCGTCTCGCATTCTTAATTTATGCAGTTTTATACATATCAGGTTTCATCGCATTCAGGGATACTGCTTTATTTTTTTTCCTATTTTGTATCTCTCTCTCTCTCGTACATATCACTCTTTTTCATGGACATTTGTTTGCAAACAAAGCAGTCCGGCATCTTGACACTATGAATATGACTGACAAAGAAAGCGGACAAAATATACAGTTCTTCAGGTAGACAAAGGAACATCCCTTCACTGCTATTATGTAAAAATGTGTAGAACAGGTGAATATGCATGTGACACCTGTTCTACACATTTTTACATAATAGCAGTGAAGGGATGTTCCTTTGTCTACCTGAGGAACTGTATATTTTGTCCACTTTCTTTGTCAGTCATGTTCATGGTGTGAAACTCCTTCCTTCTCCCCTATACCTCCACACAAGACAACACTCCAACAGCACCCATAGCCCATGCCCCGTTACCATTTCCATCCTCTTTCATATTATCCCAATAAGTCACATGAATTTAGTCCACACCAGTTTACTTTCTCTATCTTTTTCATTTTTCATTTTTTTTTTTTACTATACCCGTTACCTCTCTTTACCATAGCATATTTGCCAAGCATGTGCTATTACATGTAAAAACGAAATCACAGCGGTGAAAAATATAAATTCCAGCTATGAATCACAAGAAATTTATTCAAGTCGTGATTGAGAAGCGATTACAAAACTGTCGGGAAATGCCCACATGATAAAAGGAAACTAAATATGCTATCTCGTTGATCAATAAAGAAGTCAGCTATTCAATAGCAAACTTTAAACTGCAACGTGCATGGTTTTCTTACTAGCAAAATTTAGATAAGTTAATAATATTTACATCAATGAAAGACTTTAGGAATGATTAGCTGGCTGAAACATGGAAGTATAATAAGGAAAATGTACACAGTAAATGCAGAACAAAGAATATAAGAAAATTTCATCAATGCAAAAATTTCTCACTGGTGAAATCCAATGTTCTGGCTCCACAGTTCATTGACTCGACAGAAGAAGAAAAAAAATCCTTCTGATAATTCACTATATTTTTTTTCATCTTTGCAAACACCATTCTACACCTTGATAGGTAATGAGTAAATTAATTATTGAAAACATGATTGCAACAGCTGTTTAAAAAAAAAGAAAAAAAGAAAGATTTAAGGGCAATACAGTAATCCAATTACACTGCCAATAGAAATCATGTTTGGACGACGTGAGTATAATGTTCAGTAGCCTACGCAGGATTTTTTCAAGAGGGCGTTTTAAAATTGGATGGCATGATTGGCATCATAAAAGTGACTCAGTAAAATTGTTGAAGGTTGATGAAAAATTGCAAAATTTTTGTATGAAATGTTTCCTATTTTATTCCTTCTACTGTACTAAACCCTCTAACCTGCCAAAAATCCTGAACATATTCTCAGACCACAAAGATATTTATGGTTTTATTTGAAGGTGTCACTGTGCGACACCCTCTAACAGTAAATTCTCCCAACCATTTTTGAATTTTCCCAACCGTTTTTCCATGAACATAAGACATAACACAGGTTTTTAAAAATCTTTCAACACTTAAATGTCTGGAATGGTATAGAGCCAATTCAATGCTTTGTGATGATTTACGTTCACCTAAAATGTAATTAAATTGTAATAACATAGTTGGGAGAATTAAGGAATCAATCAGATCAGTTTTTCTCAATTGTTACCATCAACAACGGTCTGTTTTCACTTTCTGATTATCTTTAATTGTATATCTAGCATTGAGGTCACTAACTTAGCACCATTTTGTCTCATCTGAACAATGTTACAAAGTCCCTTAAAGGCATCATTTAACAATGTTAAATCTGAGATATAAAGGCATTGTTTAACAATGTTAACTTTCAGATGCATGGCCCTACGTGTTATCAGTGTCTGTGATATGGTGTAATATTAAATCCCTAAAAAATTGGCTTCAAAATGATCATGAAGTGCCTCAAAAAAGTAAAATCTTTGAGTGACCGGTTTTACCATACTCATTATCCCAACAGCCTGTAGTGTTATAAAAACTTTTCGATTTCGATTTCCAATCATAAATTTCTTGGTAATCAGACAGGCGATCAGCTTGTAAAAGTCATGGGATATTGGGATTCCTGACTGACCTAAAGGTTTATAATTATGATTGCAGCATGAGTTAAATTCCAGGATTTTGTTTCAGAATGTGAGGAATGCCGAGTCACTTTAAATATTTCAGTTGAGGGGATAAACTTCACAGCAAAATATATTTGAGGGCTTACCAAAACTGTACATGACCTTTATCAATTCTTACAAGTCTTATTAAAGGCAAACATTTCATAAAAGACACTGTAAGAACACTGACAACCCCTAGACCCTACTCATAAAGCTCACAAAGCTTCGCAAACATACATGGACCAGAAAGAAGATGAATAAAGGGGGTGTAGAATGGCAAATACTGGTTAGCGCCATCTACAACTTTTTTTTGACAACTGCACGTTAACGAAAGGACTTGATTAACGGTTTTGCGTATGTTGCATGCATGTGAATACTGCGGTCTCGTCGTCCGTAGTTGTATTATACCTGATTTGCCCCAAATCAGGCCACGGGAAAGACACATAGTCTTGTCATGCTACATCCCCTTTAAGTACTCCTGTATAAGTACAGTGAATTTCTAAGGTAAGGAATCGTAATATTATCAAGATAAAGGTGTTAACATCACATTTCAGTTCTACAACTACAGAAAGCTTCCTCATTAGTCACAGATTAGTCCAGACTTCCAGAAACACTGAATACATTTGTTGAATTACTGTTTAAAAAAACCTAAAAACAGGACAACTATCTGGAATCAGAGGGTACAGATCACAAATCTTGCCCATTACAACGAATTGAAAAGAAGTCTTAGATTTATCCATTACCACAAATATGCGTCCTGGGCCCCCATTTCACAAAACTTGTCATCAGTGACAAATGACAGTTGTTGTTATAAGCTAGTGAAATCCATGCTTCTGATTGGTTTTATCAGCAGATTTGTCACTGATATTTGTAATTTGTCATTGAAAAAAGGCTTTGTGAAATGGGTCCTATATAACAAAGTACAAAT